TCGAGACCGATAACCTTCCCTTTTTACAGATCGCTTAGGGCAGCTGAATCGAAGATGGCCCCTTTCCCCACAGCCGTAGCACCTTGGGCTGTAATTTTTATTGTGGTCGCGAACGGTAACTGCTGCAACCTCCCTGACGTAAGGGGAACGATGATCCTGCTGTCGCCAGGCGGTGCCATTAGCTGCACCACCTTCTCGAGATCGATCAACTTCGCTTTCTACAGTTCGCTTAGGGCAGCTGGATCGATGATGGCCCCTTTCCCCACAGCCATAGCACCTAGGGCTGTATCTATTATTGCGGTCGCGAACTGTAGCTGCTGCAACCTCCCTGACGCGATGGGAACGAAGATCCTGCCGCACGGCTTCAACCTCAAGTGCATGGGCCAAGGCTTCCTTAAGCGTCACGTGGTGCCCTAGCCACACAGCAGCTTTGACTTCGAGGTCGCCGATGCCGTCGATGAATGTCTGCACCAGGTTCCCTTCAATGAGCGCAGGTACAGACCGGTATGCTTTTCGCACCAGCTTCTCCACCTCTAGAGCCCACTGCTGCAGGTTTTCGTTGCTGCGTTGCACGCGATCTCTAAGCTGCGCTCGAAAGACTTGTTCCAGGTGAGCGTCGCAATATCTAGCCTCCAATGCCTCAAAGAGCTGCTCGTAAGTCACTTCTTTACAGAGAGCTTTTAGAACAGTTACGGCCTGGCCGCGAAGGCCTAGTGTGAGAGCAGTCATGACCTGACTTTATTCCAGCCGTTCGCCTTCATAACAGCTTTGAACTGGATTTTGTAGGCCGACCAGGAAGAAGTCCCGTCGAACGGCGGCACTTTGAATCCATGTAGCGAAGGTGTTGTAGCTGCTACGGGAGCCGTAGTTCCATCCCCAATTTTGAGGTAGTTCAGCGTTTTCTTCACGTCAGCCATCACGTTGTCAACCCGATTGTTCACTTGGTCGATTCAGGTTTCAGCTTTCTCGATTCGGGTTTCAGCTTTCGCGATTTGGGGTTCAGCTTCCGACAGGCGGTTGTCATGCTGAACAACCCTATCCTTCATCTCCTTTATCTCCTTCCCGAAGGTATCGTGAAGGTCCTTCATGAGGAGCATAGTCTGCTCTTTCAACCGACGGGCCTGTTCCTCTTGTCCGCCCCGCAGCTGCTATTCCAATTCCTCCTGTCAACGGACCTGTTCCTCCTGTCGGCGGGCCTGTTCAACCTGTCCGCCCCGCAGCGCCTCTAATAAACGACGGATCTGTTCCTCCTGTCGGCGATCCTGCTCCTGCAGCATCACTATCAGAGCACCTAAGTCAGGTGCTGCAAGTGTAAGAGCTGCTGACGGGCCAGCCTCCATTGCTGGCAGTTGGCCCTCTGACGTCTGCGGCGTTGCACCACCAAATCGTCTCTGGTCCGTCTCCTGCTGGCGTTGACTTCAGGTACAGACACCTACCATTTCGTCCTTAGGTAAAATCGGCATGATTTCATCCCACTTATGACATCAATTGTTACGAGCTTAAGGTTCGTGACAATAAAAACTGCCGATAGAATTACCAAAATTTAAACATAAAAGACACTAATAATTAATCACACTGATTCACTTTATTTAGCTCCGAAGCTTCGCTTGTCTCGCCAGCAACGGTTTTATATAGGGCTCTTCCACCGAAACATCCAGAATATTCTAGCAAATACGGGCGCCGATCGACCAGGCGCAGAAAGTTCGAGGGTAGGGCTTCTAAAAAGCTTAATTCTTCTGCTCGATACTAGATGGCGCTGTTGGTGGAAAGTTTAAGATTGACATTTTCTAGGAAGCCCTCCTCGCTCTGGTCCCCGACACTAGATGGCGCTAGTGCCAGACGTCAACTTAGGCGCGCAACAATATGTACTTGTCTCGTAAGTATGTTGAAGAAGACCAGTAATCATCGTAATTCAGGCTCTTTTTATTCCCATCCTTAAATTAAGAGCAATAAAATCTTTTATTTCTTCTTCTCTGATAGGCTTATAAAGTCCTACTTTTTGTTCTGCATATTAGTAAGAAATGTAATATATTGAACAAGCTTTTTTGTACAGAATAATGGAAAAATATTTAGTGGAGATAGTTCTCAGAGCGACTAAAGATGACAAGTTAATAGGTATGTGATGTGTGGAGACAAAATCACCAGCAGGTAGAATTGAGTAGGATTTTTTTCATTTTGGATCCTGTATTTCAACCTGAGCAGTAGATGGTTCTGGTTGTGGTTCTGGTGATGATGATGGAAATAAAGGCTGAGAAAAATATAATCTGGCTAGAGGTGTGTCATCTTCGCAGTCAAATTCCTAATTACGTAGGTCTGTACCTTGGAAGTCTTAAAATGTCTCCCATCGTCTTATTCGGTCCTTCAATTATGACCTCATCTTTGATACCCGAACTATCGCCACTCGCATAACTGCCATCATCGGAAGGTATATCAACATATTCCCGTATACGGCATTCTCATTCTGATTCCAAGTTCAATAAGCATCTTCTTTCCATATTCTGTAAAAATAAAAGCAATACAATTCTGTAGATGAAAGTTAAAGAACCTTAAGTCCATTTTTGGCGGTTTTCATATTTTTACAGATTCCGATTCGAAAAACTCGAATTTATACAATTAGTAAAAGAAATTAAATTCTAACGCCGTATCATTTTAAATTAGCAAATGTAACTGGATATTAAGTTCCTGAGTACATAAAAAAGTAAACAGTCGTTAAGTTCTCTAATATCTTTTAGCATTCAATTATAGACGACAGTTCAGTGTTAAATGACATTATTTGGGATTTACGATTCTTTTGCACTAACTCGCGCGTTGGCGCACGTCTTGTTTACCCCCCGCCCGCTACTCTTGCGCTGCCACTGGCCACAACGGTCGATTCAATCGTGTCGAAGGCAGAGAAGACTTCTCTGCCTTCGACACGATTGAATTTTTTTTTATTTGCGAGTGATTTTAAACTACGTGTAATTTGTTGTTTTCGTTCATATAAATTAAACAAAATATTTACCGGACGAGGAAGGAAACTTGTCAATATGATAAAATTATCAGGTATGTAATTTTAAGAGTTTTTCTGCTAATATATGCTACTTTTTCAACCTCGTAACGACATTTTGCAAACACCTTATTTTAATAATAATATCATACTTAAGTTAATGGGCCTAACTACTATCAAAGCAAGTTTAATGAATATTGTAATGTTGTAGTTGTTGTTGTCTTGCGATAACCAAAACTGTCAGCAAAAATAAATTGTATTTTATTTCTATTGAAAAATATTTTTAATATAAGGCGCACGTAAAGGAAACATTAATTATACTCCCGTTTCTTGTGCTTATATTCTCGTCGAATGTCAGTTAAATGAAAGTTAATGAAACAAAAATGTATGTCAAAATCTTATAATGTATGCCACGTTTCTTATCCCCGAATATACATTATAATAACCTCAATATATTATAAATATGTACCTTATAACATTGTCTCTCTTCTAAGGAAAAGGTACGATAAAATATAATATTATTACGTTACGAGTTGTTGCAAAATCTTTGCAAAACGTGAACATTACATTTGTAAGGTAAAATAACTTCCTTCTCAATTATACACTTCCTATTATATTTATTCCTATTATATTATTCCTTCATCAATAAGGCAGAATATAATCACTGACGATAAAAATCCTCGCTTTTCAACCACTATACCTTCAGGTTGTCTTAAATATTGGTAGCAAATAAAATAATGGCTTATTGCTAAAAAAATCAAAACGTTAATTCGATATTCATGAGATTTAATAGATAGGTATTTAACATATGTATTTTTTTATTATGTGCGTGCAGCTATGCAGGTCTAGTTAAAGAGACCAGTATCACTGCGACCTAGAAGATCTATTGTGATCGCTGCTATGGCTATAGTTCACTGCTATGCCCTATGTCTTCAATGAATTGAAGGAGTTGCTTAGCCGTGAGCAATTTCACTTCTTTTGGGCGGAGTAGATAGTGTCCCAGATGAGTGTTACGTTTTCGCATTAAGGGTCCGCAATCGGTTAGAATGTGTAGAGGCGTTTCTTCCGTTATGGAACAGAACCGATACATCCTTGAGTTGCTTAGTCCCAGGATGGACATGTGCTTTTTAAGACAACAGTGTCCAGTTAGGGCTCTTGCCAGAATGCGCAATTTATTTTTACTTAATCCCAGGGCTTCTGAAGCGAATTTACGATCAAAAGCCCGGATTAAGGTTTTAGAATGTTTTAAGCCTGGTGTGTCAGACCAGATCTTAAGTGATTTATTGTGATAAAGAGTTTCAAGGGTCAATCGGGCTAGGCTTCTTGAGATTCCACAAAATGGCTCGGGTCCAAATTGTGTGCACTTTGAGCCCTCCCGTGCGAGTTTGTCGGCAAATTCGTTTCCTACAATGCCCTCGTGACCCGGAACCCATCTTAAAACGACCCTGTTGTTACAACCCAGGGCGTTTAAACGGTTCACGCAGTCTCCAACTAGCTTTGAGTTCACTAAGTTTGATCTCAGCGCTAGCAGTGCTGCTTGACTATCAGAGTTTATGTAAATTTTTTGGTTGACGTAGTGTTTTTGCAGATTGATTTCCGCACACCGAAGTATGGCGAAAATTTCTGCCTGGAAGATAGAGGTGTATCTATCCAAATTCATACTAAATTTGAATTTGGGGCGTTCCCCGTAAATTCCAAAGCCTACGTCAAGGCCCATTTTAGACCCATCGGTATACCATATGAGGCTACCGACCTCACAGATAACCTGGCCATTCAGCCAGTCTTCTCTGGAGGGTAATTCCACTACCTTTCACTTTCACTTTACCAGATGAATTGGAACTCGAAGACAGATTGCGGCCAGCAGATGATCCTCCCAGGGATATGAATTTTTTAAATGTGGCAAGAAATATTCGAAATAACATCACAAGACAATACTTTGCATGATTTGTTTTAATTAAAGATTTAAATTAAAGAATTAATAAAACTTAATTTCGAAAAAATATTTTATTTATTTTTATTGATCGCTTCGACGAACATGGTAGCCGCTACGCATTATGCAATCGCCAAAATACCGAGCGGGCTCTGTCTGCGCATTGGCGAGCACCTTCTGCGCTTGGGCTCCCTCCCTTAAAGCCGCTATCATGGCATATTCTCGCGGGGTGGCTGAATCGGCTGGCGGCACGAGCGTACGGGGCGTTGCTCGACGCGCGTTGCGGCGCTCAAGGCGCGGAGTGTTGCGCACCACGCCGTCCTCCAGTCTCTGTTCAGGGGTTGAGGCCACGATGTGTTCACGACTGCAACTGATCGTCGCCAGATCCCTATTTACCGCTGGCATCATCAACGCGTCTACCGCAATTCGACCAACGCGAGATGCTGTCGGTATTGATGACGCGTCCGTCGCCATTGAAGTGACGACAGTCGCCCCATCGTGACTCGCCGTCGGTGTCAACGCGTCCACTATAGCCGCTTCCTTCGGGGGCTCTTCTTCAGTGTCTGAATGTATATCCTGCATAGTACAATTACAAGGATAAATTCATACAATTGTACCACTATGAAGTCAATTTCAGAATACCATTATGCATAAAACTCTTTTTAACATGACTTCAGTATTTATTACTCATACCATTAATAATGCGGTTATTCTATAATTACCAAAATTGACCATAACGCTTAATGAAAACTACATCAAAATCTAATCAGTAGAACTCAAGTCATAATAAGGGCACTGTTTAAACTTATTTATAAAACTAACAAATCTTATTTATATGTATATAATAATGTTGTTGTGAATAGGTAAAATATACTCACAACTGTTACTGCGTCTAAAATCGACGTCTGCTTGGGCTTTGGCAATTGAGTATCATCCAAAACCTGTAGTCAAAATAAAATCAACTCAACATCAGACCATTACTGGTAATAAATATCACGACTGCTACAAGCATTGCCATAACACACTCACCATGACTATGTTTTGTTTAACATGAGGATCCGGAACATCAACTGGGTGGTCCTGGGTACCTATTCGGTCGTTTTCTTCATAATAAGACATCTTTATAATATTAATGCTATGTAATGTATGTAGTTTTCAAAATTAACACAATTGTGATGATTGATGCAATCATGAAAAAATAAGTAAATCTAATATAGAGCTTACAAAAAACTAATGCCAATAACTTACAGCTTCCACAGCTCCAGGCAATCCATATATAGTTGATGTCTGCTCTATATTTATTGTTTTTTTCTCCAGTTCTGTCAAGCAGATATCTGCTGGAGGACCACCTCCAGTCCTTTGCATAGATGTACGCTGTGTGCGCGTCTTAGCCTTCGCCCTGCGTGCTAATAACTTGTATGTCTGAAAAATTTAGATTATTCATTTAACAACAACTAATATCCAAGTGGGTAAAGTAGGTTGGTTATGATTTAAATTTTAAAAGTTCACTGCTATATTTAGTACAAAATTAGGACAATTTAATGTATGAAGCACCACTAACTAACCTCTAACCAATCTTTCTGTGTCTTACGAACACTTCCCATTCCATTGAGGGCTTCTGTCAGTTCAGTCCACAATCTTTTGGTAGCCGGCAACTGAGAATTTCCTGTTGATAAATAAAGACAAATGAAGTATAGGTAACAATAAAAACATCATGTTTTATTGGATGCCAATTATTTATATTATATGTTATGTTATAATTTAACGTGAATAAATGATTGTGAATGTAATAACAAACGTTGCAATGCGATATGACTACCAAACTGAATTTACACAGGAATGCTTGTAGATAGGATAAGTTAGAGTGCAATATATGATTATGATCAAATTAAAATATAACAACTTACACTACTAAAACAAAAACTCACATGAAATATTTTGAAAACATACCGTTAACCGTTTCCGGATTCCTCATCAAGAAGTTTAATAAATATTGTTGCTGTTCTTTCTTCATTCTTGGCTTCGTTGTATCCATATTTATTAAAATTTTAATAATTCTTGCGAAAACTCACACAAAAAATAACCACGACAGACTTGACAACTTGACAGACCAGTGGTGTGGTGTTGCCATTTGCGGCGGCAAACGAACGTAATTATATCCATTTCCATAGACGTAGAATTAAGTTCAAATTTAGTGACGTGAACTTATTTTAACAGAAACGTAATAGCTTTAGGTTAAGGACATGGACATATTTAGTAAAATTTTAGTCTGTCATTATTTAGGTTCGAAGAGGAGAAACCGCAGAGCGCAACTAGTAAACTATATCTGTCAGTTCTGCTCCGGGTGCCAGCTTTCTACGTATATTGCGACCTTGAACGAATTAACCACTGGACCAGACATAAAATAAAAATGTATGAAAACTCGTTCAATCAAGTGGAGAATAACGCGCACGAAGATTTTATTACGTTAATATAAACACAGATACGAAATTCGTAGAAGTTTACTCTATTTCTAGTGCTTGATCGTAGTCGATAAAATATATCGATGAACGAATGAGAAAGAAAAGGCGTATCGTAAATAAGCTGTAAAACAAAGGAAATAAAGGGATAATGAAGGTGAGGTAAGCTTCCGGTATTTAAATTTTAATTAAAATAAAAGAAGCAGGACATTTTTATGGATTTTTATTCAATTATAGTTATGATAAACGTCAAATATTTTGTTAAGTTTAAATTATTTTAGTAGGTTTACTGAATTTTATTATGTATCATCTTTCTTAGAATGTTTTTCTTAGATTTTTTTATGTTCGCTTGTTTTCTTATAAGCAATTCTAATGTTTAACCCTTATTTCGACGGAGTTCTCAATATGCTAATTTTACAAATTTGTTTCAAAAGCTAGGTTTCGATAGCATGTTAGAGTCTCGTAAAAAAGATAAAAAAATTAAATCACCTACCATTTTTGAGAAAAAGGTGGTCCGTTACAGCGGACTCCGTCGAGCACATAGAGATTTACAAGTAAAATAACTTGTCTGCCCTGGTGGACTTTACCACTTAAGAGTGCAAATAAGGATATGAAAACGAAACAAGAGGAAAGGAATGAAAATTACGTTTATTTGAAATCTAATATTACTCCTCTTGTCCTTTTACGTGAAAATTAAAAAAAACAGTTGCGTGTAGCTTTTCCTGTCACAAAGCATAGCCGCGTATTACATTTTAAACAGTATATCGTTGTTTTCTTATTGCAATTCATACAACGGCCTTCCTCCTTCGTAGATGGGAAGTGCGCCACATTATCAAATCGGGTATCATCAGGTGGTCTAGGCTTGCACACATGGCGGACACAAGTACCTTCAGCCCGTTGGTAGGTAGCAGCTCTGTTGTTATTCAATAAACCGTAGTATATTTCGTATCTGAAATATTTGAGTATCATAAATTTGACACGACCACCTGCAGCGCGTGCTTTTTGCTTTCTATAAAGAATCCAGGCATTGTTTACACAAATGTCAATCATTTGAGAAAATATCGCTATATACCAGCGTTTAGTTCTGAACGGTGTCTTATATAACGATATCATTATGTCAGCTAAGTCAACACCACCCTTATTTTGATTATAATCCTTGACCATATTAGGACAATCAACATCGACTCTTTGCTTAGCGTCCTTGCAGTATCTCTTCACTTTATGGACGGAATCAGCATCTGTGTATGAACTTATTAGTGTGGTACATTTATTGTCGTACCACCTTACGACAACTAATTTGTTTTTGTTGCAGACACACTGACAATAACTTCCTCGTCTCTTCTTCTTGAGAGCCTTTTCACAGATCAATTTATCTTCTGCCCCTCTCAGTCGGTTGCTTCGAATTGTCCCTAAAGAAAATAAACCATAGTTTTCTCGTAGTAGATATATATCTGTGTATATACTAATTCGGGCGACGAGAAGAAGTTATCAAAATATACCATAGCAGGCTTATTTCATATGGTTTGACATAGAGCAATAACAATGTGTGCCCCAAAACCCAAAGATTGCTCTTCATCTGTAAACTTATGATTCCTAAAGGTATCATCTCCTCCATACAGTATAAAATCATAAATCATACCAGATGTACCTGCCCGAGCATAGTTTTTAAAACCCTATTTTATCGGTGTATCTTTCATGTATTGCCTCCGTTTACCGGCTTTACGCCCTTTGTATGCAATCATCATCTCGTCGATGCTGAACCTATTTTCATCTTCATGAGCAATACAATTTCTACGTATCTTCTCTATAATACGTCTAATCTTATAATATCTATCGCTATTTTCAAAATTGTTATCAACAAAATGAATAAATCGTCGAATTTGGTCGTACCTTTTCGAAGGCATAACTTCTGCTATTTTGTCATATCTTAACTTCATGCTCCAGTAATCTAAATAAGAGCTTAGAGGTACAATACCCATCAAAATGTGTATTGCCAGGAAGTCACGCAACTCATTCTCTGTTAGCTGTATGGATCGGCCAGTTTTTTGGACTGAATAAGCGTTTGTTTCATTGACTATATCTGTTATTATATCTGGTGGGAAGAAAAAAAAAGAAATATTGTAAAGGTGACAAAACTCGGGGGCATCTCCAGACATAACCGGATCTTCTATTTGAGCTTTGTGTAAAAAAAGTACCTTTTTTTCTATTTGAAGTCGAGTGTCAACTTTTGTAGTTCCCTTGGCCTTTTTTAGCTATAAAAGTAGCCGTTTGTCTTCTTTTTCTAGTGACTGGGGGTGGGGTATGTAAAGATGGTAAAGATGATATAGAGGGCAAGTTTTGAAAGTTTGGTTCTTGTTTTGGATTAGGTAGAATTTCTTGTAAAATAGGAGTTAGAGGAACATTGGATAAATCTGGGTCTTCGTCTGTTTCAGATTGGTTTTCAGGTAGTGCTTCAGAGGAACCATCGAAAAAATTCATGCGCTCTAAAGAGGAAGCAAGCGATGGTGCAGGCGAGGAGGAGTTAGAATCATGCGACTCTTCAAGCTCATTTCCAGAATTTGACTTGCTACTTGTTTCAGATGGTGCACGCTCTCTATACCTAGAGAGCGTGCACCAAGTGCTAATATTTTTTTCGAGCGTTCATGCAGGCGACACTGTCAAAGAGCAAAAAAGGAAAAGCTAAGCAAACCACCATAAAAATAAAAGCTATATCACGAGAGTGTAACGATTTGTACTGATTTTATGTAATGATATGTACGTAATTATAGGAAATTTATAGATATATGTATATATTATTTAATATTCATAAAAGGTATGCTAATTATTATAAAAAAAACCATTGATATTTATATAGAAAACTAAATACTTTGCACTGTCATGAAAGGGAAATAATAAATACTAAATATCGTATAGTCGCTCGCAGAAATAGGTTCTGAATTCGAATTGAATTTGTTGAAAAAATAAAAACCAGAAAACGGTTAGAAAGACCAGAAACATGGAAGTGTAATCTAAGACGTAAAAAGGAAATATCAGGTAAATTACGTGAAACTCAAAAAGGAAACATAGTTTCTGCTAAGACTATCAAGACCTCTTGTTCTTGCAGAAAAGGATGCAGTAACAAAATCAACGATAAACAACGAAGACATATATTTGAAAAATATTGGGACGAAGGAAAGACGTGGGATATGAAACGACAATTTATTTTGACATGTGTTAGGAAAAGAGCTATAGAAAGACGAACAACGCAAAGATGACTCTAAAAAACAAAGAAATCATACTTTAGATTTCTGGTTGATCAAAACGAAATCGGTGTTTGTAAGACATTTTTCTTAGGAACTCTTGGTATGTCCGAAACGGTGGTTCGAAACACAATTAAAAAATCTAGCTATGGAATCATGAAAGAAGACAAAAGAGGAAAAAAGGAGCCTTCAAACAAAACAAAGACTGAGGTCATAGAAAGGATAAAAATACACATAGAATTATTCCCTAAATATGAAAGTAACTACAGCAGAGAAAAACCAGGCGTAAATATTTAGGTGCACATTTAAATTTAATATTAATGTATAATTTATATGAAGAGGAATGCACAAAAGATAATGTTGATAAAAAAGATGATTGCAAAAATTTGGACAAAAATCAAAAGATTTCTACAGTAACGGGATTACACTATGACAACAAGTCCGTTGCCACATTTTGTTCCATGAATATCTTATGATCTACCAGAAGGGCAGCTTATATCGTTAATGCAGATTTTGAAAATACGAGTAAATAATGCTCCTACTTTTATTTGAAATTATCCCAAATGTAAAAATAAGTAGTGAATTACCACAAATTTTGAATTTAAAAGATAAAAGGACACAATGTTTAAGATTTTTTTTTAATTAATTTTTCTTCGCCACCTGCCTATACTACTTATTTAAATTTGCAGACAAGTTTCAGTGAACCTTCTCTGCAAATTTGGTCGGTTATTGTAAAATAATCCTGTATGTATATATTGTACAACCATGTCTATCTTGCTCAAAGCGTGTTGATTGCAGCAAATACTTTGACAGAGATCTATGACGAGAAGTGGATATTTAGAAAAAGAAGATTTACAAATATTTTACTCGATACTTGGACAAAAATTTTTGATACTCATTTTAATTTAGGATTTAAACCACCAGAAACTGACACATGTGACGATTGCGATGGTTTTGTAATTCAAATGCGTGGGTCTAAAGGATCCGAAAAAGAGATACTAAAAAGCAGATATGATGATCACTTAAAAGAGGCAAAGGCTAGATATGATTTAAAAGATTTTGATAAATTGGAATGTATAAACACTACCGCTGGTAAGAAAGTAATTACTGTAGACTTACAAAAATGTTTACCAACTACTTTGTTGACAACCGATCTTAGTTTCTACCTTCGCAAGTTGTGGAGTTTTAACTACACAATATTAGATAGTTCCAGGAATAAAAGTACCTGCATTATGTGGGACGAATCCGTATCAGGCCGTGGAGGGAACGAATTATCATCGGGCTTAATCAAATGGTTTGAAAAAAAAATGTTTTAAACACATCTACCAAGCAAGTCA